GAATCCTGCCAGTCGCCTTGACCCCGGGTGTCAAGCATTCTTAGCCTCCTCGAACTCACCTCTTCCGCCTCTTCTTTCCACAGATGCTCTCTCGGGAGGCAATCAAATCTTCACCTGAACCTTTATTTCAAAGGCAGAGCGTCAAAATATGTTAATGGGGGAGGTTGGCAATTATGTATTTAAAAACAGAGAGAGGTGGGGCAGCTGAGTGGTTTGGGGGGGGGGAGAAGAGGGAGGTAAGCTTGCTCAGATGTAGGCCATAGTTTGTCAGATGCGTCAGTTTCGGGGTCTAAAGTCACCGGATCTTAGACGCGAACGGGATCCTTGAGGTCATATAGTCCAGCCCTATCTAGATCGGGGCCGTTTACGCTTTCTCTGAGCTTGGTTTGGCGAGTATAAATTGGCTCTGTTTATTTAAGCGCTAAATTGCTCGTTTGGAATTAGTTCTTTTTACCCAATGTTCAATTTAAAACTGCCTCCTTGAAATTTAAAACTATTATTCTATATCTTAGTTATTATATTTTCAGTTGCTCCGGTTCAAATACCTTATGGCCTGTAGTTATAACCGACAGATAGTCAGTCAGTCAGTCAGTCAGTCAGTCAATCAATCAATCAATCAATCAATCAATGTCTTGCATTCTGAACTGATTGTGAAAAGCTCTTTGTTCATTTATCATAGATTTTTAAAATAAGTAATGCAAGGTGGGGAGCATATCAAATACACTCCTCCTATTTTCCCCATAACAACAATCCTGTGAGGTGGGTTTGGCTGAGAGAGAGGGGGGGGGAGGGAGGGACTGGCCCAAAGCCATCCAGCAGGTTTTCATGCCTGAGGTGGGACTAGAACTCCCAGTCTCCTGGTGATTGGCTCAAAGTCACCCAACCAGCTTTTGTGCCTAAGGCGGGACTAGAACTCCCAGTCTCCTGTTGATTGGCCCAAAGTCACCCAACCAGCTTTCATGCCTAGGGCGGGACTAGAACTACCAGTTTCCTGGTGATTGGCCCAAAGTCACCCAGCCTGCTTTCTTGCCAAAGACGGGATTTGAACTCACGGTTTTGCACTTTTTAACCTGGTGTCTTAACCACTAGACCTGTGATGGTGAACCTATGGCACGCGTGCCACAGGTGGCACACGGATCTCCCTCTGAGAGCACCAAGCCGTCACCCAGCTNAATCGCTCGCGCGGCTGCGTTCTGGACGAGTTGAAGTCTCCGATCTGCAAAGGAGTAGGGAAGGTGAGTTGATTCCTGAGTATGATGGCTTTGGAGTTTGTTCTATATCTGTTCCTAAAGAAAGGAGAGACCGAGTAAGATAATACATTGAATTACTAGCAAGTATACTAAAATTATAGGCAATAGCAGCAGGAGAAGTCACTGTTGCCATGATGAAATCCTCTGTGTAACACTTGAGAAAAGGAAGAAAAAAAATAAGGAGTAATCTTAGTTTGAATAACCTGCACTCCTCCTTGCCCTCTTCTCTTAATAGGTTTTCGGTCCTTATGTGTTACTTTCAAGTGTTGACACCTAGCCAAACCCGCCAGCCTAATATATCCACTCGACTAGGACCTCTGAGATATCATGTTTTTTCTCAGCCTCTTGAGATTACTTGTGATTTTAGCTGCTTCCAGAGATGGGCACACTGGTGTTTCTTTCTTTTCCACCTCATCTTCTGAATCGTTCCTATTCATAGCAGTGGGGAAGAATGTGCATTTTTCTGGTAGGGCAAATTTACGGTATTTCGTCTCTTCTGTCTACATTAAAATGGAAGGTGTGTGCTCCGGCAGGGATGATGATTCCCTCTGGCAGAGGAAGAGGGTACCACAGGCTTTTGTTCTATGACACTCAATGGTCTCCTGACGCAAGCCTCCCCCCCTCTTTTTTTCCCCTTCGCAGAGGACAATGGGAGCTGGGGAGTTTGGATAATAACAATTCAGTTTCCATGTAGCTACCACCATAGTTAACAAAACAGGCAGCATTGACCCTGTGGGAGCTAAGCATTCAACTGCTACCCAGGGAACACAGAACATTCCTATAGTTTCTGTTAGTTAGGGACACATTGTGATTTATAGCCTGTAATTGCAGTAATAAAAGCAAGCACGCATTAATGTCCCATTACAGGGAGAATACATTTTGCAGAAAGATGTACTAGGAAAACAGGCTCACTGCTAAGTGCTGTTCAGTTTGTGCTAATATTTCTTTAGCTACTATAGGGAAGGAGTGCAGCTACTATATGGAAGGCTTTCCCCGGCAAGTGAAAATAAAACAGATAAAAGAGAGGAAAAAAGAACGAGCTTAAATTGCCTTTTTAAAGCATAGCTTAGACTGCGACGTATTTTTAAGAGTTTCAAAACTAACTCAATAAATGCTTTATAGCCCCATTTACCAAATTTGGTAATTCTGTGCTGGGTGCAACTAGCGTAGATGAATCTGTGCTGTATTTCTTTCAAATGTTAAGTTCATTCACTGTGGTGCCACATTCATTTGCAAATAGTTTAGTTAAAGTCCACATGAAAATTCATGCATGAAGATAAATGTGTGTGTATTCTTTCCAATGCACTTTGCAAGCAATATATACTCTGATTGGAGAACCTTATAAAATTCAGATCAGTGCAAAAACTGGGGATAGTTAAGTTTCTTTATGTATTTTTAGTAAGTGGGAGCTGAACTAATTTCTCTCTGTTTCTTAGCACAAATTTTCTTTTTTTATAACTGGTGCTTGGATCCCAGAATATAATCCTTTACAGTTCTTTTCTCCTTTTCTCTACATTCCCCATTTTGCAGGCAGTATGGTGTGGTTTTTTTTTTTAACTGACTGATTTATTTACAAGCTGTATTCCTTTCTTTTTATTGTTACCATTGTTGTTCTCTTCTCTTTGTTCACCTACCTATGTTAGTTCAAACTGCTGTGGTTTTGCTTCAGCAAAGGCAACAGGGCTAAATGCCAAAATGTAAAAGCCTCAAGAGTGTTAGAATGGATTTCATCACAACAAAGAATTTTTAAAAAGAAATATATGGGCCATGGGAGCCCTGGTTTTAGGCTAGTTATATATTTCCTGTTTCTCTTGCTGTAATAACATTTTTTTTTACTCTGGGTAGTCCTTGAATTACAACCATTAGTAACTGTTTGAAGTTATAATGGCACTGAAAAAAGTGAGTTATGACCAGTGGTGGGTTTCAAAAATTGTTNCACAGAAGGGACCTTGGAGGTCTTCTAGTCCAACCCCCTGCTTGCTTTGTACTTAGAAGGAACAAAACAAGAATCGAATTGCCTCTCCCTGACTCAAAAAATAAATAAACCTCCAAGCAAAACAATTGAATCAGCTGCAAATTTGCCACAAAGGCATGCGCAGAAGGCCCTTTGAAGGAGCCCCTTTGAACCCCTGGATGAAAGCAGAGCCTATTTGAAAGGGAACAATGCTCCTGATTTTGCCTTTCATATGGACTGGGCTCTTGAATCAATCGTTTGCATGGTGCCTTTGAAATGCACCAGGAGATCTCTTTAAACTACACATCTGTGCATGGAACTGCTAAACTAAGTGACAGATTTCTGGTTTGGTTTTAAAAAAACATCATGATTGTGTTTGAGATGGGAGGGGGGGTGTAGGTAGCTCCTAATCTTACACAGATCCCTATTGGGGGGTTGCCTTAGCCCTCACCCACCCACCCCAAAACAGGAGGCAGAGAATTGCCAGCGAAGCAGTGTGAATAAAATTGAACTGTGATCTTGCTTACGGAGTGTGACATTCTAGGTCAAGCATTAACTCCCATCTGTGCAAAGAGGAAGAGAAAGGGAAGGGAAGAAGCAAAAGGGAAGAGGGAAGAAATAAAAGAAGGAAGGAAAGAGAAGGGAAGGAAAGGAAAAAGAGAAAGGGAAAGAGGGAAAGGAAGGAAAGAGAAAGGAAAGTAAGAAGGGAAGGAAGGAAAAAGGAAAAGAGGAAAAGAGGGAAAGCAAGGGAAAGGAAGAAGGGAAGGAAAAACAGAAAAGGAAAGAGGGGAAGGGAAGGAAGAAGGGAAGGGAAGGAAGGAAAAAGGGAAAGGGAAAGAGGGAAAGGAAAGGAAGAAGGGAAGGAAGGAAAAATGGAAAGGGAAGGAAGAAGGGAAGGAAGGAAAAACAGAAAGGGAAAGAGGGGAAGGAAAGGAAGAAGCGAAGGGAAGGAAGGAAAAATGGAAAGGGAAAGAGGGAAAGGAAAGGAAGAAGGGAAGGAAGGAAAAAGGGAAAGGGAAAGAGGGGAAGGAAAGGAAGAAGCGAAGGGAAGAAAGGAAAAATGGAAAGGGAAAGAGGGAAAGGAAAGGAAGAAGGGAAGGGAAGGAAGAAGGAAAGGAAGGGAAAGAGGGAAAGGAAGGGAAGAATGGAAGGGAAGGAAGGAAAAATGGAGAGGGAAAGGAAGGGAAGGAAGTGTGTGAAATCCTTCCAGCACAATTAACACTTTTCCAAACAGAAGAGCACTTTCAAAAACACCCCNGGGAATAGGGCGGCATATAAATAAAACGAAACCTGAAACCTGAATCCTTTCTTTTCTTTGTTTTTCCTAGCTTGAGTGGGAACCACAACCTATATTGCTCAGTGGTTCCAAAACAGGTTGACTCAGCTGAACCAAAGCTCAGTCTAGGAACATATTTAAATATTTCTGGGCAAATGTAGAATTTAGATTTTTCTCTGTGACATTATGAATGATAGGTTCCATTTATTTCTAAAATGAGAACTATCTGGCATAGTTCTTTGCTTGTCACTGCAGAAGTAAGAGTGATCCATATATAATAGAGAAATACACATCAGCAGCAAAATATATACATTTGAGCACATGACTTCATACAAGCAGCATCATACAAAGCAATTATTTATTTTACCTAAGTAATAATACTTGCAAATATAGGCACAACCCTCAATGTTTAACATAGCCTGCTTTCTTACACTGCCCCACTCCCTGCTTTAGCCCCCTTGGCATTCACCTCTCAACACTGGCACACTAGCGTGGGGTAAAATCCCTGCTCTTGTGTTACCTGTGACCTGATCCACAAGGATACGGGAGGTGATGATGCGTCCATACTGTGAGAAGAGCTGCTCCATCTCTTTCTGGCTCATGGTTTTGGGCAGGCCACTGACATAGAGATTGGCATCACGGATAGAAGCAGAGCTCGGCCGTGCATAGGACACCTGGTGGAAAGGAGGGCATAGTTACAAGAGCCATCGAGAAAGAAGCAAAGAACAATCTCCTGGATTCTATTCTCACATCAAAAGAAGCAACCTTCTATCATAAAACAAACAACACTTTCTTTGGAGGGGAGCCGAGATTCCTATCTATTGGTACTGTTCCTTCACCTCTCGATCCTTTCTCTACAAGTCTTTTTCTGCAAACTCTTGACTGCGGGCTCTGTAGGGCAGAAATCCTTTTCTCCACGAGCATTTGGGAGGGAAATGGCAATATCCCTGTGTATATTTAGAAGATAAGATCTTCTCATTACAAAATTAGAATGGCACCCAGCAAAAGGCCAGGCTGTAGTACATAGGAGGGGCTCTCTCCATGGAGCAAATTGGGCCCCAGGAAACCCTTTGAAAATAAGAGGGAAGAAAGGCTGCAGCTCAGTGTTTGGTGGTAAAGTGAGGAGCCCATGGTGAGGAGGGAAAAAAACCCACCCGCTTTTGGGCCAAAAAGCAAAGGGTTACCATCAATCAATCAGTGGTGGGTTTCAAAAAAAATTTCGAACCTACTCTGTGGGTGTGGCCTCCTTTGTGGGAGTGGCTTGCTGGCCATGTGACCTGGTGGGAGTGG